AAAGATAAATATAAAGATATATATTATATATAACTATTATATATATATTATATATATTATAATATAATATATATTATATATATGATATAACATATATATTACATGTATATACATATGTATATATATATATATATATATATATATATATATTATATATATAATATTATATATAGTATAGTTGTATCATGTTGTGTGGTGTTGTGGTGCACCATGTGTGTGTGTCTATCTGTGCTATGTGTGTGTGCTGTGTGTGTCAATATTGTGTGCTGGTGGACGCAACAATGTGTGTGCTGTTGTGGTGTGTGTGTGTGTGTGTGGGAGAGAGAGAGAGAGAGTGAAGGAAGGAGAGAGGACGAGAGAGAAGATGATGAGAGGAGAGAGAGGAGAGAAGGATGCGAGGAGGATCGAAGAGAGAGGAAATCTTCTCGCATGTGCGTTGGAGTGGACTATGGAAATGACGGAGACTACTTACTATTTCAGTTGTCTCTATTTCTTTTCTTAATTTATAACTAAACTTGTGGATGAAAATTAATGTGGATGTCTCTCGGCTCTCTCTCTCTCTATCTTTCATTCTCCTCTCTCCTCCTCATCGTATTCGATCTATCTATCGTTTCGATCTCTCTCTCTCTCTCTATCATATCTATCTATCTTCATCTCTCTGTCTGTCTGTCTGTCTTGTCTATCTAAAAAATTTTATTTTTTTTTTTTTTTTTTTTTTTTCCCCCCTATTTTTTTTTTTTTTTCTTTTTATCTGCCCCTCTCCCTCTCTCTCCCTCCCTCAAATCTATTTTATCTCTGTCTCTAATTTTTTATTTTAGCTATCCCCCCCTTCTCTCTCTCTCTCTCTCTCTTCTCTTCTCTTCTCTCTCTCTCTCTCTCTCTCTCTCTCTCTCTCTCTTCTCTCTCTCTCTCTCTCTCCTCTCTCTCTTCCTCTATCTATCTAACCCGCCTATCTCTCCCTCCCGTTCTCCCCCCTTTCTCCTAAAATAGAATAAAGAAAGAGTAATTAAGAGATAAGATAATCCCCAGAATAGCTATTTACCTTTTTCCTTCTTCCCTGTTTATCAGATTTACGATCGGTGCGCTGTACGGATGAGATTAAGAGAGAAAAATAACATGTCTCTCTCTTCTTCTCTTTCTTGTCTGAGGAGAAAGAGAGCAGGGAGGGAGGGAGAGGGAGAGGAGAAGAGAGAGAGGGGGGAGAGAGAAGGGAGAGAGAGGAGGGAGGTAGGAGTGAGGGTAGGTAGGGGTAGGTAGGTAGGAGTAGGTAGGTAGGTAGGGAGGAAGGGGGGAGGGAGGATAGGGGATGTAGTTAGGAGTGGTAGGTAGGTAGGTAGGGTAGGTAGGTAAGAAGTAGGTAGAGGTAGAGAGAGGGTAAGAGAGAAAAGAAAGAGACAGAGTGAGAGAGAGAAAGAAAGAAAGAAAATAAAAGAAAGGACAGACAAAGATAAAATGAAAGAACAGAACAAAAAAAAACAAAAAAACAAAAGAGACCCCGCCAAAGCCGAAAGAAAACGGGAGACAACAAGAGCGCGTGAGAGAGAGAGGAGGAGGGGGAGGGTAGACGGGGGGGGGGGGGCAGCGACCACGAGCCTAAAACAGTTTCTCTTCTTTTGATGTCCCGTGTTGTTGATGACACTATAAGAGATTAAAGGAACCTGGCGCTCACACAGCCCGGCGTTCAACAGCGATGGCGACAGTGTTCATCTTAACACAGCCTCGCTCCGCCCACTTTACCGGATTCTTGCTGGCAGCCTCTTTCTCGTGGGCGGCTTTGATGGAGTACCTTCTTTCGGGCTTTCCTCGACGCCCGCGGGATGTGGCGCAATTTTTTGTTGTGTTATTTGTTGTTATTTATTGATTAGTTTATTCTGTTTATTGTTTATTTGTTTTTGATTTGATTGATTAGTTATCTATACTTATTTATTTATTTATTTATTTATTATTTATTTATTATATGTAGTACATCGACGCCCTCGATGTGGCGCCATTTTTTTGTTATTTTTATTAATTGATTAGTTCATTATTTATTGTTTATTTATTTATTTATTATTTGTATTTCCTAGGTGTGTTACTTTTTTATTTTGAATTGTCTCTGGGTGTGGCGCTATTTTTTTGTTATGATTGAATGCTTTATTTGCTTATTTGTTTTATTATTTGTTTGTGTTATTCTTGAAATCTCTCTTGAGTGGTCTTCAGTTGTTGATGTGGTTTCTTTGTTGTTGGTTTTCTTTATTATTTTTATGTGACGATGATTTTCGAATTGATGTTTAGTTTGTTCTTTAAATGTGTGTTAGTTTTCGTAGTTGTATTCTTTTTTATCTATTTTTGAGTAAGTTTTAGATGTTGCGTGAATTTTTGCTTATTCTTGGATTATTCTAAAATGTTTTTTTATAATGTGCTATTTCTAGAGAGGCAATTTTGTTTCTTTTAGAATGTCTTTTTAAAAGTTTCTAATGCCATCAAGTATCGTTACTCTTTTTATTTTTATTTCGTATATGGCCTCTGGATGTTGTACAATTTTCATTATTATATATATTATTTATATTATATATATATATATATATATATAATATATATATATATATATATATATATATATGAAATGTATATGCATCATATATATTTATATTTTATCATATCTATATGTATAGATAGATATTATTTTTATTCATATATATATATATATATATATATATATTATATATATATATATATATATATATATATATAGAGAGAGAGAGAGAGAGAGAGAGAGAGAGAGAGACGAAGATGAAAGAGAGAGAGAGAGAGAGAGAGAGAGAGAGAGAGAGAGAGAGAGAGAGAGAGAATCTGTTGATAGACGTAGACGGACACATATAGCCATCTTTCCCCCTCCTTAAGAATTTTCTTCTCATTCTCAAAGGAAAATAGATTTTTCTTAAAGCTCAAATTTTCATTTGCTTTTACTGCTTCTCTGAACGTACAAAAGAGAAAGAAAAAAAATGAAGAAGAATATTAACGAGAAAAAGAAAAGAGAAAGAAAATATCAAAAGAATATTAACGAGAAAAGAAAAGGAAAGAAAGAAAATAAAAATAAATTAAAATTAACGCCCTTTAATCTAATTTAAACAGATCTTCTCTTCAGTCAAAGTCATGCAAGAGATGAGTCATGTCGCATTTGTATCGGCGACATGCAAGCACACCTAAATGACTCTGAGAAATGGGAAGAAACATAAATCTGATTTTATTTATGTCATTCTCCAAGTTTAATTATTTTGCTTTGCTATTTTTACACCAGGTGGTTCGTATATGTCACTGTTGTCGGTTATTAATTTGAACGATTTCCATGATATGAATAGAAAAAGATAAGGTAAAATTGGTAACATCTTCACTAGAAATATATATATATATATATATATATATATATATATATATATATATATATAATATAATATACATATATATATATATATATATATATATATATATTTTTTTTTTTTTTTTTTTTTTTGGGGGGAATGATGTTTACGAAATAATAATTTAATTAAGATAATTTAATTGGTAAAAATTAGTAACATTTCACTAGAAATATGTATATTTTTTTGGAAATGTTTACAAAATTGATAATAATTAAGTAATTAAGGTAAAATTAGTAACATCTTCATTAGAAATATATGATATATATATATATATATATATATATATTATATATATATATATATATTGAAATGATGTTTACGAAAAAAATAATTAATCAAGGTGAATTTAATTAAGGTAAAATTAGTAACATCTTAACATCATCACTATATATATATATATATATATTTTTTTGGGGGTATGATGTTTTCGAAAATTAATAATAATTAAAGTAAATTTAATTAAGGTAAAATTAGTAACATCATAGATTTTTTTTTTTTTAATGATGCTTGCGAAAAAATTATACGCTACTGTATTTACGTAAGTAGTGCCACGAGGATGCTCGGAGGTGCAATATGCAAATGAAGTGTATGTACGTGTGTATATGTATTATCCGTTCACGATATGTGTTTAATTCACGGATGTGCGTATGTGGATATAAGTTCGTATATCTATCTATCTATCTATTTATCTACGTATCTATATATTAAATATATATTTGTGAGTGTGTGTGTATGTATGTATGCATTATGAATAAGAGAAACAACAAACAGTCACAAAAATATTATCCCACCTGACCACAAAAAAAAAAAAAAGGGGAAAAAAATATCAACGAAATATATATTTTTACACAGGGTCCTGGATGTCGCATTGGAGGGGGGCGGGGGAAGTAGAGGGGGGGGGGGAGGGGCGGAGTTGCAGCCACCTGTCGCGTTTCAACCGAATTTAATGAGGGTCTGATTCACTTGCTTATGAATGCTTCTATAAAAGCTGAGGTCGACATCTTGTGTATCTGTTCGTCGCTTCGTTCTCCTTCTCTCTCGTCTCTCTCTTTCTCTCTCTTTTGCTATTTATCTTTTTTCTGGTTAGTTGTTTCTTTTTCTTTGTTTCTTTTCTCTATTCTTTCTCTGTCTCTGTCTTTTTATTCTCTCTCTCTCTCTCTCTCTCTCTCTCTCTCTCTCTCTCTCTCTCTCTCTCTCTCTCTCTCTCTCTCTCTCTCTCTCTCTCTCTCTCTCTCTCTCTCTCTCTCTCTCCCTCTCCCTCTCTCTCCCTCTCCCTCTCCCTCTCCTCTCTCTCTCTCTCTCTCTCTTCCCTTCTTTATTATTGGACTTCACTTCTCCCTCCCATACGTACGAAAATAACCTCACCTGAACACGAAGAGAAAGGTCGACCAAAGTATCGTCATTATAGGATTGACCGTCACAGCTGACTTCACTTCACTCCATCTCCAACTCCTCCTGTAATTCTTACTCCATCGCCAATTTCAGTTCTATTTCCTAATCACTCCGGCGCCATTGCCAATATCAACTCTTAATTCTGACTCACTCCAATTTCAACTCCCAGCTTGAAGTTGAGTAATTCTAATTCCACCTCCGACTCAGTGCAACTCCTGCTCCAACTTTAGCTCCAATTTCAACTCCTACTCACTCCAACTTCAACAACTCTAATCCCAGTAACTCCAGGACCCCAGCTTCATCACCTCACTCTAACTTCAACAACTCTAGTAACACCAAGACACCAACTCCATCACCTTACTCCAACCCCGGTAATTCCACCAGCAACAACTCCACCTCACTCCAACTTTAGTAACTCCAAGACCCCAACTCCACCACCTCACTCCAACTCTAAGACCCCAACTCCACCTCACTCCAACTCCAATACCCTAACTCCACCCTTCACTCCAACTCTAGTAACTCCAGTACCTCAACTCCACCACCTCACTCCAACTCCGATAACTCCACCCCCAACTCCACCTCACTCCAACTCCAGTAACTCCAACACCAACTCCACCACCTCACTCCACCTCCAGTAACTTCAACAACTCCAACTCCAACCAACTCCACCACCTCACTCCAACCCCGGTAACTCCACCAACTCCACCTCACTCCACCTCCAGTAACTCCACCAACACCAACTCCACCACCTCACTCCAACCCCGGTAACTCCACCGCCAACCTGTAGCTAATCTGGCAGCGGTGACGACAACCTCCCCCCCCCCTCCGAGCCTTTAATTAAAATAATTCCAATTGGCCGAGTGGCACCTCCACGTGAGCGGAGACGGGGGAGTGACAGCTGACGCACGCAAAGGATGGTTCGAATAAAGAGGAAGACGCGAGAGGAGGAGGAGGAGGAGGGAGGAGGAGGAGGAGGAGGAGGAGATGATTAATGGGAGGATAGGGTGGTGAGGAGGAGGAGGGAGAGGAGAAGAAGATAAAGAGGAAGAGGAGAGGGGGGGAGGAGAATGGGAGGAAATGGAAGGATAGAGGAGGAGGAGGAGGAGGAGGGGATGTAGGGTGATGAGAGAGAGGGGAGAGGAGAGAATAGAGAGTAAAGGATGTTTTGAATAAAGAGGAAGTGGAGAAAGAGGGAGAATGGGAGGATAGGGGATAAAGAAAGAGGGGAGGGAGGGGAGAGAGAGCAAAGGATGTCTCGAATAAAGAGAAAGAGGGAGGGAAAGAGGAAGAGGAGAAGGAGGGAGAATGAGAGGATAGGGTGAGAAGAAAGAGGGGGAGAGGAAGGAGAGCAACGGAAAGGGAAGAAGGGGAATGGGAAGGATGGGGAGGAGGAGGACATGAGAAACGTACGAAAGGGGAAGAAAAGGAAGACAAGTAATATAAAGAAATGGAGAAGGAGAAGAGGAGGAAGAGTAAGGGAAGTAGAGTGGGAAAGAGAAGAAGCGAGAGAGAGAAAAAACGAAACAGAAATGATATGTAATCCGCCATCGTGACTGGCTGATTTACATGTTAAGTTCCTCCCTGCACAGTACCTCATATTTACACATACATACATACATACATGATACATACATACATACATCACATACATTATACATACATACATACATACATACATACATACATACATACATACATACATGCATACTTACTTACATGATACATACGTACATACAAATACATAAATTCATACACATACATACATACACACATATAAATATACATACATGATATATATTTACGTACGTATACACCGCTCTTTCTACCTGACTCACGATCACCCACCCTTATGACCCCTATGAATCCCCCCCCCATTTCTCCTACCCCCCCTGGCACTTTCTTGTCCCCACGGGCGTTACAATATGTTTACCTCTTACCTCCCTGGCGGACGTCTTCCCTCCGGCTGCATTTGCCAGGTCATTATGGCATCCGAGGCGCTATTAACAACATATCGTCCTTGTACCTACGTTGGCGAGCGTCGGCCTGCCGGGCGCTTGGTAGGGGGCAGATCCGTTTTCTGTTTGCTTGTTTCCCGTTTTCTTTTTTTGGGAGGGGGGATTGTGTTATTTTTTTGGGGTTTATTTGTTTTGGGTGGTTGGGTTTGTTTTGTTGTTTGTTTATATGTTTGTTTGTTTGTTTGTATGGTTTTATTAATTCATTTGGGTATTAGATTTTTGTTTATACTTTGACAGAGAGAGAGACAGACAAACAGACAGACAGACAGACAGAAATAGAAACGGAAGCATAACATATCTAAACAAAGAACCAGTCAGACAGATATCCAGGTAGACGAACATGACCCCCCTCCCCCCCAAAAAAAAAAAGTACCGTAACACACGCCCGAAGGCACAAAATAGCGTGATACCACAGATGTCAGTGAGAGGGTCGACCCGTGCAGCAGGAGAGAGAGAGGTACCTTCACCCTCATCAGCTGGTGGTATCGAGGTCCCGTCCATGGTATGGCGGGTAGAAGGGGCGGGTCAAATGGGGTCGTTAAGGTGAATTGGTCTAGTTGGGTTTTCTGCTGGATTTAATAGGTGATTCTTGGGAGGTGAGCTCAGTTTCAAAAGTTGATTGGTTTGGCGTGGTTGTAAACTCTCTCTCTCTCTCTCTCTCTATCTGTCTCTCTCTCTCTCTCTCTCTCTCTCTCTCTCTCTCTCTCTCTCTCTATATATATATATATATATATATATATATATATATATATATATATATACATACATACATATATATGTATATATACATAGCCTTTCCAACCCTGGGGTCGCCAAGCGTTTTCTTGGGGTCGCCAAGACCTTAAAACATCAGCCGTTGTCAGTTCTCAATTTTCAGATGTTTTCAGCATATGCCAAGTCACATATTGATTGGCTAAATTTTGCTTGATTATCTGAATTCTGATGAGACTCGAATTATGGAAAAATATAATCATAATTGTGGATTTTTGTATGATATGAATAATATGATATGATATAATGATATAATATAAGCCTATATATTGTAGAGCAGATTGGGATCGCGGTCATGTCTGGAGGTGTATGGTTGAGGTCATATGAAAAAAGGTTGGGAACCATTGATATATATATATATATATA